TAACTGCATAAGATTTATTGACCTTTGGTCTTGAAATTTATGGAAAGGTCAAAGGTCAAGGTCATTCAAAAACTGAGAAATTGAGCTTTTTTATATCTCTCTTGTCTTTCAACATATACTTAATGTCTATGCATAATTAATATGTACTCTTAATACTGTTTCAAGGACTTCATTCTTGTTCCCTAACATTAACCCTTTTAAAAGTTATTGCCCCTTGTGCGAAAAACCTTGTTATCGCTACTCCTCCAAAACTGTAGTTCTTAGAGACACCAAACCTTCACTAATATCATGAGGGTCTTTACACGGTGTAGTACCTAAACGGTTGCTATCGGAAAAAAAACGCGTTCATTACTGCTATCCGAAAATTGAGCGGCTGCTATTGGAAAAAAATGGAGGAAATGGTAAGCAATTTTCTTCGCTGGGTGAACAAAAAGATAAATTATTCAATTATTATGGTTTAACTGATTTGTGATGTACCTCTTACGGAACCTTACTGATAGTAAGGAAGTGATTTATTTATTTAATTTTGTAATTTGATAAAAGATTGATGTTTTTTAAGCGAATAATTGTCGACAGCTTTCGGACACACGTGCATACAAGTGAGAAAAAGTACCTCCTTGGCATTAAAATATGGTTTTTTTTAAAAAAGTGAATCGGCAGATTTTTATAAATTTGTATGGCGAATTGCTTAATCGCAAGAATTGCCTATACTTTTATTATTTTAAAGAACTAAAGCATTTTTTTTTTACGAAAAACATATGTTACGGCTGCTATTAGACAACAACACCGGTTTCTTTCGGAAATAAAAAATTTTTTCTTTATCAAATTTCAAGTTTTATTCAATTGGGGTATATGAATACAAATATTTAATAATACAAAATTTTAACATATAAACAAGAATGCATGATTGAATGAGTGGCACTATATATTATTTACAATGCACATACATGTATACTTCAAAACATTTTTGTATAGAAGGCCTATTCTCATACAAAATAAAATAACATCAATATACTCAAGTTTCGAGATTATCTCCCTTTGCATGCTCTTGCGTTGCTGAGGCCGGGAAGTTTCGTTGTCGTATGTCACAGTCAGTTTTCTAGTATATATTATGATATATTGTTCTAAAAAATATTTTTTTTACCATAAGATTGATTATTAATTTAACTAATACTTGTGTTACAAAGTTTATACAAGCGATCTTATACAGATGCATGCATGTTTAGCAGGCTTTGAAGGTGATGTACAGTTATGTGCCAAAAGTGAAGATAATTTTATTTTTTCTATTTTAGTACTTATTTGTAGTGATCTAAATATTACTGCTAATCAGATAAAAAAATATTGTTCTTATCGACTATATGACAACTATTTCTTTGATAATCAAGATAAAATTAATCAAGAAATGTCATACTAGTGATTTTACAAAATTGTGTTTTCAATGAAATATACAGAGAAAAAAGTAAATTTATCATCATTTTTGGCACATATCTGTAAATATTAATTAAAACAGGTCCGTAAAGAAAACCAAAAAACATACACCCCATTTACATGTATATAGGAATGGTTTATTGTAGATATTCAAAAGCCTGTTACCCCCCCCCCCCCTTTTATTCCAAAAAAATCTGCTTGTCAATGTTTATAGACTTTTTAATGATTTTATTTCAATTATTCATTTGCACCCCCTTTTTTCTGCATTTCAAAAATTCATATATCGTCCGGCTATCTACCAAAAGTAATGCGGATCCGGGGGGGGGGGGGGGGGGGGGGGGGGGGTGGTTGCATAGTTATAATTGTTTATCTCATGGATTGGATATAAATCACATATGTATACATGTATAAATTATCCTACCTACTTAATGATAATAACGATGTTATTTTACATATTTTTAGAATTTTTCATCTGAAATGTCAATTCTTGGAGTTGAATTCATTAAAGAGGGAATTGAATCCCATGTAGAAGAGACATTAGATGCAGCCTCAACATCAAAACCAATTAGTTCCTACGATGACGATTTCACAAGCAGCGATAGTGTTGAACTAGCAACAGAAACAGTAGAAGTGGTGGACACCAATAACAATAATAAATTTAATTGCAACTACTGCAGTAAAACATATTCTACACTAACAAGCTACAATAGACACAAAGTATTACACACTGGAGAAGGCCACCAATGTAATACATGTCACAAAATATTTTATTCGAGATTTGATTTAAGAGATCATGTATTGACACAGGATGATGAGAAGCATTTCCGGTGCAATATTTGCACCAAGGCTTTCCAAACAAGAGGTGGATTAAATTCGCATAAACGAATGCATACAGCAGACTACAAATATATCTGTGACCACTGTGGTGAAGGTTTTATTTACAAAAGTAACTTTGAGGGACACAAAGCAAGGCACGAAAATTTAGCACCTTTTCAGTGCAATGTTTGTAACAAAGGATTCAGATATAAAAGCAGTCTATCTAGGCATGGTTGTGGATTCATTAAAAAATTTAGTTGTGACAGTTGTGGGCAAAAATTTAAAGCTAAGCGGTACTTAATGGACCATCTTCGTGCTCACATTAATCCCGAACGTTACCAATGTTCGAAGTGTGGAACTTGCTTTAAATACAGAGGATCTTTTCACAAACATAGAAAACAAACTGGACACAAGTAGAAAACAAACAGGACACAAGTGAGATCAAGTTTAAATTCTACACTTGTGAGAATGTTAGTATTAAAGCCTTTACTTGGAAATCTTCATAATGAAAAGTTTTTTCCCCTTTAGTTACTCAACAGAGTTGAAAGTCTGTGTCTTACAAATGAATATTATTTTTTAGTTTAAGTGATTTAACTATGCACACAAGTAGTGTTCACTGTTAATTAAAGAAAAAAATAAACGTAAAAAAAATCAGTTTTGAAAATTACATGTACAACCAAAACTAAAATTTGCATGTTTTATTTTTAAATGTTTGCAAAGAGTGCAGAATAAACTTTACAAACATGGTATTAAATCAGTCTTGTTTGGGTTTTCATTACAAAAACACATTTCATATTCTACCATTGAAAATGTTAAGGATGATTTTCCTGCAGAGGAATACCTAAACGCGTCGTCGGTAAAATCTTGATTCGTCACACTTATGATGTTGACGAACTGGAAGGCATCCTCTAGATACACCACTAGGTTGTGATATATCAGATCGCTTTGACTTCAGTTGTCGCTTTCCAAACAGCTCAGGGGCATCGAATGCATGGTTTCTAGAAAATAGAATTATTGGATAGTTATATTTATAACCAATTTTAGAAAATAATAAGGACCAGGTCACTTTTTCAAAAGGAAAAGTGAGACTGAGATCAAAAGTGAGCTTGTCTAACTTTTATGGCCCACATGCCAGCATTCGTAATTCGTCTGAACTTATTACCGTATAGCGGGTCTTTTTGGCGGGTGTAAAATTTGGCGTTTTGCCTGCTGAAAGGTACCCCAATAATTTTGGCGTAATTTATTTTAGCGGACACAGGTTTTCATCTCTTTACCGATGAACACTAAGAAGACTAAATTAACTATTGTCTCACTATTTCAGCGATTAAAATTTTAGCGGGCCGCCCTCAAAATAAGCCAAAATTAGCACCCCGCTAAAATAACCCGCTATACGGTATTTGATTAAAGTTTTATACATGTACCTTGGTGATATCAATGACACAGGCCTCAGGTAGCAAATCTCTTGAACTTCATTTTGTTCAAATGTATGATATAAAGGTTCCATCAGTTTCTCATTGGGGTACACAGACTTCCGTGTGGTGCAGATATGGAATGCTCTGTGCAGATTCCGTGTAATTTAATCACATGTATTTAAATCTGTGTGATTGACATTTATAAAATATTATATTTTGGATTCTGTTTACATATAGCGAGAGAGAGAGAGAGAGAGAGAGAGAGAGAGAGAGAGAAATGTAAGAATGGATGTATACCTGTCCGATGGATCACATCGATAGTGCTGCATCTCTGTAACATTAGCCATGAGGCGTGGGACACTAACAGCTTTCGGACATCCAAGCTTTGTTGGTTCCAGCTCGCTTAATTCACCAAAGAATGTTTCATTTACAAGAGATGAAAGTGATCTCTGATTATAAGATTGTCCTTTCACAATACTGTACAACTGAATAGATGTATCTATTCTCTGGAGAAAACCCTCGTACATTACTTTTGGGAATCCTTTGACATACATCCCCGGTGGAGGAAAAACTCCAAAATCAACATCCCTCAGCAAAAAGGATTTCAGGTCAAGTTTTCGTTGAATTCTTTCTACGGCAGAAATACCTCCTGAGTCTTCAGATTCGTACCATCGACGAATAAGGCTGCAAAAGTCTGCTTCTGTAGAAAACGCAAGATTTCGCATTTCATCTTCAACAGCTTTTGAAAATGTCCTTTTCGCAAAGGCATTATTTTGTTTATCCACCAAGTCAACAACGATAGCATTACTGATAATGGAGTTGTTGTTCTCTGCTACTCTATGCCATGCCTCCTTCCGTACACCAAGCAAGCCATCTTTACACACCTTACAGCGAAGATTTACTAACAAATGGTGGGCGTCCAAACACTTTGGCTCAATTTGTTGTCTCTCTTCGTTGAATTCGGGAAAAGAGAACCACATGGTTGTGCCTACATTCTCGATCCTTGTGTGAAGCTGAAATGTGAATTGTCCCCCCATTCATCATATCTTGTGTCATAAATCAAAGCTGCTATTGTATTATTTAATCGCTCTTTTGGTATTTTGGTTGAGCTTGAGCGGACAATAACAGAGGCAAAATATTTGAGGGGCATCATTTTTCTTACTTTCCTCTCCCATGTGTCATCTTCGTTCTCACTAAACATTTTTTTAATTTGTTTTGCCTTTTCATCCCGCGAGCATGATTTTTTAAATCTTATTCCAAATTTATAATGTAGCTCTTTTGTTGCTTCAATGACTACATTCATTTCTTCATGCTGCATTTTCATGAGTAATAGTCTGTTGACTAAAGCTTCTTATAGTCCATCAGTTGTTTTGTTTGACCATTTCTTCACAATGTTCTTGTTTGAGTGAGTTTTTAGATTATGAAGAATTGTTTCGATTATTTTTTCAGGTACTTGTGGAATGACAGTCTGAAGGCAAGTATTCTCTATGTTTTCTTTGTCAATACCCTCTATGGTGACATCTTCTTCAGTGAAAAGATCCTGATCAATTACGGTACTATCTACATGCGTAGAATGTTCAGCAACGAGTAAAGTTTCTAAAGCTTCATCTGGAAGGCACGACGTGGTATCACCTGTTTCCGCTTGTGCTGTATTCATTTTCTTTCTCCTCAATTTGCTACCTGCAGATTGCATCACTCGTTTTAAACGGTCGCAGGAAATCTCCAGAGCAGTGCCTGAACTTTCCGTTCGAAGATTCCTTTTTTCGTTATCAATGATAGGCTCAGATGTTAGTTTCTTAACTATTGCATCCCGTGTCATTTTTGTTGCCTCCTCATAGACATCACGCTGTAATTGCATTAATGTTAAAGGTTTTCCTTTTTTGTCCCGCGTTGCTAATTTGGCCCATTGTCCATCAAAGCAGCTTGCTATTACTTGTAATTTTTTCTCATGACAAGCTTGTAATACATGCTCGTGCATATCTCTCATTACTTGGGTACCAAGACTATATCCCTTCATGGCATAGGCAACAGGAAGAGAATAAGGAATTCCTTTACTGAATATTCGATTAGTGTCTGCTAATATCCAAACTAAAACCTCTGTAGCCTTTTTTCTACACACTTGAAAAGCATCCATTATACAGGATTTTACACTGTTTGATATGTCATCGAAGTCCTCACTGTCATCTTTTTTATCTAAATTACAAACAGGATATATGTATGGGGATTCATCAATGACATATGAACAGCCTAATTTTGTACCCTTCATGGAGGGTATTTCGCACAGAAATTCACAATTCTTTTCTCTATAATCTACCAATATTTCTTTGATATCTTTGGACTCCAAAGATAATCTTGTCGGGCGTTTTGGTTCATCTGGTGAATAAAGAACCACTGCTTGCTGAAAGATCCTTGACCACATATCCTCATCAAATGTGACCCTGGAATGTATAAACATAAATATATATATATCGGTATATATATATATACACATGTAGGGAGAGCGAGAGCTAGAAAGAGAGAGAAAAGGCACAGGTTTCTAGTTAATCTTTTGATCTGCGGGACCCTGTCTCCAAAAAGTGTAGAAACAGCTCGCTAGACCGTTCGACCATTTAGATTATATACATGTGTGAGTGAGGTTGTGTGTTAAAACTTCTTGTATTCTTTAAAAAATATTGATATCATATTCATAAAAAACTAGACGCTGTCATGAGACAGTAATACCCGCACTAAGGTGTTTGCCTCTAAATACACGCTCCTACATATTGGGCGGCTTTCCAAAGAAATAGTCAAAATAATTCTATAATTTACATGTATTCATCAAATTGAGTATGAAATTCTCAGACCCTGTGACCAATAACTCAGAACCTCTTATATTTATTTTATACATGTTTAATTCATTATATACCAGTCTGAATTTTATTAATGATGTAAATTCATGCACGGATCTGTCGGGGGGGGGGGGGGGTCAGGGCCCCCCCCCCTGGAATTTACAAGGTTTAAAAAATGTATATACTAAAACAAGGAAAAAGTTACAATGGACCCCCCTTGGAAAATGCAGATCCCCCCCCCCCCTGGTAAACACGAATATGTGTAAAATAAGTATGTAAAGTTAAACATTTAATTTGCGGCAATAGAAGTCACCACTACTCCCACCCCACCCCCCCACGATATAGGTTTTTGCCGTTTGGGTGAGATTTACTTTAGCCTTTTTTTTTGATTGTCCATTTCTGGGATAGGATTTTTTTTTGACTGAGGAGGACCCCCCCTCCCCCCCCCCCCGGAAAAAATTTCTGGATCCGCGTCTGAAATTAGATTTTGATATATGTTTTGCTCATAATAGGACCTTTTAAAATTTAATAACCCCCCCCCCCCCCCCCCCTCGACACCACAATCACACAGCACATACTTTTTGGAATAGGCTAGATGGAAAAGGTTTGTTAAAATTTAATATCGTTTGTTATGAATTAATTTAAAATTTGTTCTTGTACTATACATGTGAACATGTAAATTTCTACATCACATCACGTTGCGTCACCCATTATCATATTTATAGATTAAACACCATTTGGCACACCTCGGCCGATTCCCACTTCATCTGATAAGGTGATGGAATCGACGAAGGTTCACCAAAATGGCACATGGCTGCAGTCTGGTGTGCATTGGATTAATTCATTTTGAGTTATAATTGGATTTATATTTCATGAAGTTGAGACACAGGGAGTCGGTAAGTAGAAGTTTTAGTATAGTGGGGGGTAAAATACACCCAAACTATTAGGTTAAAGTTTAAAAAGGGTGAAAGATCATCGCATGCCACACTAGACGAATTTCATATTGTGAAGTTATCTCCCGTTGTCGATGTGATATTCAGTTACTGCCAATACTGGTGCGGATCCAGAATTTTTTTCGGGAGTAGGGAGGGGGGTTCACATCTCAGTCAAAAAATTCCAGCCCAGAATTTCGTGACAAGCAGGAGAAAAAAATGAAAACAAATAAACAAATAAAAAAACAATGATAGTGAGGTCAATGTTTTCTAAGTTTATAGGGAGAGGATGTCAAGAGTCATTTTTTACTTGCTACAGTATATAGTCCTGTTTAAATAACAAAGCAAATGCCAGATGGGGGGGGGGGATGGGGGGATTCCAATCTTCCTACCCACTTCCTGTCCCTGAAATAACAATGTATTTTGTTATTCCAGTTAAATAGTATATTTTTTTCCATTTGACTAATTATTATACATATTTTGTTTCTTGTGTTTAGTATGTCTGTCTATAAGTCTGCAGAAATTAAATCCTAGTTAGCTTGCCCATAAGTTTTAAGTGGGATGGGCTATACAAATAGCTTCCACATTTTATAGGTTTATTTCTTGTGACAATTTAATAAGACCTTTTATTTGGGTACCATTAATTTTTACCTCTGATCGCTTGACATGGGATACACATTTTTACAAGAAAAATACCAAACTTTAAACTCTGCCTAAATTTTGATCAGTAGATGCTAGGGCTTTCATACTTATCATGACATATTGTATTCATTGTGAACTGTCAACAGGAATAAATATGTTTGAACTTGACCCTAGAGTTTGAACCACTTAAACAAAAAAATTAACCTTGGCAATTAACTTTTGAACAGGAATTACTAGGGATTTCTTTATTTCACATGTGCATTCCTTGTGACAAGACTTTCTTCTGATACTAACAATTTGAACCCTTTGACCTTGACCTTTGATTTTGACATATATTTGAGAAACTTCAACCTTCGCCATAGGCTTCCATACTGGGACATCAGTGTTTCACAAACACATCTTATCTTCATTATTATTTGGCGGTGTCTCCATATGAGGGAAGATGTATTCATAACAAACAAACAAATCACTAAAGAAAATATAAAACATGAATATGTTGGTCATGCATATCTCTGCAGGAAAAAAAACAGCTTTTCAAATACTCCAACCATATCGTAACCCTTTCAAAACACTCATTTGAGCTTTTTTGGTTTCCTTAGCATATAATGTCTGTCGTAACGTGTTGTCCATCTGTTTGTCTGAAAACTTTTTACATTTTTAACTTCTCTAGAACCACTGGGCCAATTTTACCCAATTCATATAGAAATATGTACATTTGTATGTCAGACTCAGTCCATCTGTCTCAATAAATTTAACCTTGGTTATCACGGTTATATCTACTGAATGAGAAGAGACATTCATATTAAACTTATGTATTAGTATATATATTTACCTGTGAGAATGGCATGGTTTTTTTTTTTTTTAACATGTGACCTAGAAGTTTGACCAACTTGCAAAAAAATTAAATTGTTATAAATTCATCATTTTGAAAGAGAAAAGTTAGGGCATTCATATCATAATGCATGTATATTATTACCTGTGATAAGACCTTTCCAAATAAATCATGACTTTTACACTGTGACCTTGACCTTGAAGCGATCAAGCCTAACCTACTTTTCAAAAATGTTGTATTTGCTTATAACTTTTGATTGAGATGAGATATGACTCTCACATTTGACATGTACATAAATTACTCATAAGAATTCAAGGTGTTTCCCAGCGTGCGATGTTTTTTTATGCGCCCGAATTTTTTGGGGGCGCATATTGTTTTTGTCCTGTCTGTTTGTCTGTATGTCTGTTTATCTGTTTGTCTGTTTGTCTGTTGTCAACTTTAACCTTGGCCAAAACTTTTGAACCATAAGAGATAGAGACTTCATATTTGGTATGCATACTCCTCTAATAAAGTTCTTTCAAATGACATCAAGGTCAATGACCTTGTGACGTTGACTGTGACCTATATGCTAAAAATAGGTTTTTCAACTGTTTGTCATAACTTTTGAACCATAAGAAATAGAGACTTCATAATTAGTATGCATACTCCTCTAATAAAGTTCTTTCAAATGACATCAGGGTCAATGACCTTGTGACCTTGACTGTGACCTATATGCTAAAAATAGGTTTTTCAACTGTTTGTTATAACTTTTGAACCATAGGAGATAGAGACTTCATATTTGGTATGCATACTCCACTAAAAAGGTTCTTTCAAACAACACCAAGGTCAATGACCATGTGACCTTGACTGTGACCTTTATACTTAAAATAGCTTTTTCCACTTTTTGCCATAACCTTTGAACCATAGAAGATAGGGACTTCATATTTGGTATGCATACTGCACTAATTAAGTTCCTTCAAATGACATC